TCGCGCGGACCCGCGGCGCGGAGCGGCTGTGGGGGCTCCTCGCGCCCCCCGCCCGCTCTGCCCGCGGGGCCGGGAGCGCAGCGCCCGCCAGCTGGGGGCGGGGAACAACAACCATAACAACAACAACAACAACAGCAGCAGCACCGCACACACGCACCGGCGCGGGCCCCGGGGCTCCGCCGCTGCCCACAGCCCTTCCCCAGCGTGGCACCTCTGCTGGCACCGCGCTGCCACCAGAGCCCGGACGCGCTGTCCCCTCCGCGGCGAAGGTGGGTGGGCGCGGAGCGGAGCGGTGCGGTGCGGTGCAGCGCGCTCGGGCCTCTCCGCCGCCGGTCGCGCTGCCAGCGCCGCTCAAAACAAAGGGGCTGGCGGGGCATGTGACCGCCGAGCCGCCGCACATGATGTCACCGGCTCCGCTCCAGCGGCCCTGGGAGCTGTAGTTCCGCCGCCCCACCCGCAGACGGCCCCGCCGCCGGCCCCCCGCGAGGAGCCGGGACCAGCGGCAGGGACGGGAGAGCCGCGGCGGCAGCGGTGGGTGGCAGCTGCGAGCTCTTGCATCGCCGTCCCTTTGCGGGGCAGGGGGAGCACACCCCGCGTACCCCACAAGTGCACCCGACCCTCCCCGCCCCGTGAGCAGGCAACAGCTTCAGGTGCGTCGAAGCAAGCGGTTGCATCGGGAGGGCACCTTCCAGTCCCTTGTGCCGGCTCTGGGGAGCCCTACCGAAGCTGTCCAGCAAGAACCGGCTCCCAGACTGAAAATAACACCCTGTCTTGGGGTGGGTGTTCAGCCTACATGACCAAAACAAAAATCATTACATGAAAAAAATTAACCAAGATAGAATCTTTGTCTACCTGAGCTACAGCTCCACCCAATTAATTCAGAATTTCCAGTTCCTCTTCAACAGTAACGCAAAACAGAGTGTCCCTGTCCCTGCTGACCACGGAAAGCCAAGGTCATCTTTAAGCCGGGACACTTAAAAGAGAGCTCTGCTGTCACAGCTGGGGGTCCCAGTGGTGGCAGCCAGTCAACTGCAAATATAAAAGCAGGACCCTGGTGTCATCGCCCTGCAATTTCATGAGCAGGTCTGAACCTGTCCTGGAGCCCAAATTCACTTCATATCCGAAGTATTTGGACACCGGCCCATGCTCCAACACAGGCTGATGGAACATGCCTGGGAGTATGGAAATTTATTTTTGTTCTGCCCTTTAGCATAAGCAAACTTGCAAGCCCATAATGCAGAGCAGCGAGGCGAGGGCAGGGACATGCATGCTTAAATTAATATCATTACCTGGTACTAAATGAGGCTTTATGCAACGCAGTGGAGCTGATGTGGGCAGGTAACTGGCTGTGTTCTTCCTAGAAGGATGACCTCCCCCTCTGGCCCCTTACTGCTGATGGAAAGGAAAAAATACAATTCTTCTATTAGCCCCCCACTACTTTGCTCTCCTAAATGTTGGATATCAATCCCAGGCATAATATATCTTTACCTTTTGGTGAATGTCCCCAGTGTTCTGACCCCAGGATGTTCCCAGGAAGAGCTCCCAGACGTGTGCTCCTGGCAGTAGCTGAGTGTGCTCTGCACTGAAACTTGAAGAGGAGCAGAGTGTGCTCAGGACTCCAGGGCCGACCCCCTCCGGAGCAAACCAGGCTCAGATTTTCATAGGCTAAACAAGCTCTGATTTCTCCTGGGGTCAGGTAAATTGCAGCTTTGCAGAACAGTTAGAATTATTAATTAAAATTTAAAAGGCTGAGTACTGAAAATGTCAATTGATGTTGATATGTAAATTGTTTTCACATAGATCTTAAACAATTGAAACCTTCAACTATTTTCCTGCAGAGCTAAAACTCAGAACTGTTTGACTTCATTAGAAGTGAGAGCGTTCAGTCCATTTCTCATCCTCTGCCTGGAAAAGCAAGAAGGACCCCAAACAACATAAACAGCAAAGAGAAAATCAGCAGCAAGTTCACCTCACAGAATACAGGTCTGTTGCAATAATGTGTTTCATCCACTGAATATAGGAAATATTAATAACCTGAAGTCTACTTGTTACAAAGACCTTAAATCTAAAAGTATATGACCTTAGAAAAATGTTTTGCTTAAAATAGATTTCTTATCCTTTATATCCTCTTGTCTGCCCCAGTTCTTTGAGTCTGTAACTCTTGGGGTCAATATGAGTATGTAGAGTTCACTTGAGAAAACATAACCAGGATTAAAGGAATGAGTCAGAGGAAGGAAAAATCAAAACAGGATCAAGATACCTCTGCACTGGCTGGAAGCAGCTATTCTGAAGTGACTATGTTTACTCCAATAAAAACTGCACGTGGCAAAAATATCTTTTGAGTGAAGAGGGTAAATGGAGCATTTAAAAAGAAAATACTAATTAAAAATATTCATTGAGCAATCAATCATTTCATAATGTGCTCATGTATGCATGTGGTCACATCCAGGCACTTCCAGTTCTGAAAGCCAACGTCACTGAGGATGTCTGAAATTAAGGATACTTGAGTTGCCACTACATCCTATTGCTCCTCATTCCTCTGCTAGCAGGGGCATTGGCTGTTCTTTCTCAAGCTGCGCCAAGCATTTCTCTCAAAATAAGCAGTTGTACACTGCCTGAGAAGCTGAAACCAATTATTAAAGATTACTCATTTCTATAAAGCTTTGTTAATACTTTTTAAACAATGTAAAGTAGTTGTAAAGCATTTAGGCCAATGTTTTCCAAACAGGTCGGTGATTTTGCAGATTTTGAAGGCTTCTTCGGGGCACTGGAAAGGTTAAAACCTAAAATTAGAAGCCTGCGTGAAGGTTTTGGCATGCATCCACCAATGTTCATGTGTTTTCTGGTGGTGTTGGATTTGAATGCCACTGCTGGGCACTTTTCAGACACATTTCATCAATGCACTGGGCCACCTAAATGGTCTGTGCATTCCTCCAGATAAAGGAATTGGCTGTTTTGGGCAGTTGGTGCCTGTATGCTCCTGGGAACTTCCCTCTGCTGTGGGGAGCGTGGTAGATCCCACCAGATTTTTCTAAAATTGAGGAAAACCCACAGGTTTTCAGGTGGCAGAGAAAAACCCAAAGAAAGTCCATGATTACTGCTCATGAGCATGTATGCAAAACAGTCTGGGGAAGGGCTCAGATGTGAAGGAGGGAAGAGGGGAAGGTGAGCCACAGCAGCCGGAGGAGGAGGCTGAGGAAGAGCAGGAAGGGAGAGAACAGTCCTCACCACGTCCTTCACTCTGGTCACTGATCAGAGAGAAGAGAGCAGCATGCAACTTGGACAGCATTAAAAACTCTGAATGCAACACAGGGAGGGTATCACTGGATAAAAGAGAGGATTTAGACATTTGAGTGAACAGAAAGTTGAGTACAGACTAACAACTAATAACCAACACAAGGAATGTTATGAGCTGGCAACAAATGGAGCAGAGATGAAACAAATCCATCAGTACAAGGAGGGAGAACAGATCTGACATTTGTATGGGAGAAAAAAAAAAGTGTTGTTGAGTGACATCACTGCAGAGCCTGATGCAAGTATGCACAAAATGTAATGGCAGTACCATTCAGCAGGATTACAAATAGTGCTGAGCAAAAGGAAAGATGACATTACTAGGAATTTATGAGGAAAAGCAGAAGAGTGAGCTACAAGTGAGTTCAGTAACTACTGCAGAATCTGCTTTTTCAATATGCCAGAAAAAATGCATTAAGGTGTAGTAAGTAAAGGGGAAGAAATGTATGGGAATAGCATTAAAAAAAAAAGGCTGGATGAAATTAAAATGAAGGTACACATCTCTTCATGTGATAAGGGGACAATTCTCCCCCTCTACTCTGCATTTGTGAGATCCCACCTGGAGTATTGAACACAGCCATGGTGCCCCCAACATAAGAAGGATATGGAACTCTTGGAGGAAGTCCAGAGGAGGCCACAAAGTTGATAAGAGGACTGGACTACCTTCCCTGTGAAGACAGGCTGAGAAAGTTGGGGCTGTTCAGCCCAGAGAAGAAAAGGTTGTGTGGAGAACTCACGGCAACCTTCCAGCACCTGAATGGGCTACTGGGAAGGCAGAGAGGAACTCTTGGTCAGGAACTGTGGTGATAGGACAAGGACTAATGGGTTCAAACTGAAAGAGAGGAAATTTAGGTTAGCTATACAGAAGAAATTCTTTCCTGTGAGGTGGCTGAGGCACTGGAACAGATTTCCCAGAGAAGCTGTGGCTGCCCCATCCCTGGCAATGCTCCAGGGGGCCCTGAGCAACCTGGTCAGTGGAAGGTATCCTGGCCCAGTGCAGGGGGGTTGGATTGAATTGATCTTTAAGGTTCCTTCCAATACAAACCATTCTCTGATTCCATTGTTCTATTATTCTGTCATTAAAGACATCTCACAGAAATACAGAGAACGCACCAAAATTTTCTAAAATCCTTCCCATGACTCTGGACTCTTTCACTGTCCTGCCAAAAGTCCTGTGGGTCACGTTGACTTGAGCTGGCCTGCTGGGATAATCAGCAGGTACCATTTAGGCTGGAAGGCATTTTTCCAGGACCAGTACCTTTCAGCCTCTCCTCTTCCCATTACCTGTTTGAAATGGCACCTGCACCAGGAAATGTCATCTGCAACAAGAGTTGCTGCATTGGCACCTGCATAGGAAGGGACCTGGCAAAAAAATACTCCCCTCCTCCAGTTATTTTTGCCATTTTCACTGTCTCCTGGCTGGCTCTGTACATCCCCATTTCCTTTGCACAATTACGCTGCACATGGCAGCCCTTTGCTCAGGCTGGCAGTGCTTCCCTGGGTGTCTCTGCTGCAGCAAGGCAGGAGGATGGGAAGGAATGGGGCATTCTCCAGAGTCCTGCATGCCCCTTCCCAGCAGGGTGCTGTCCCACTGCCTGCAGGCTCAGTGCTCACTCCTCAGCCAGGGAGGCTCTGGGATTCACTGGGTTACTTCCAGTACACAAAACATCAGCATTATGTTTACCTATTCAGCACTGCAGGATTGCCTATCCCACCCTAGTCCTAGGCCAGCCATGCTCCTATCCCATGAAAATCCCCTTTCTTCCCACTCATCCCAATGATTCCCACTCATTCACTGCTGTAAGCACCTCAAAACAAGGCCCATGCCAACAGTCCTCCTGTGCAGAAAGTATGCATCTAATTTTTTCCACCCAGTATCTCCAGGTTCCAAGCCTGGGAGATGACTATGGGAGTGTAAATTGCAGAGCTGAGAAGAATGAACATTGCATCACTGATGCCATAAACACTGAGCTATTTCTTTTTGTACAGCACAGAGTATCGAGACACCATGAAACCAATGCCTAGCTGGGGAGATAGAGTCAGTTGTGCTGGTGTTTGTCTGGTTCCTCTCTTTGGGAAGAAAAAACAAAGAAATGAATGGTGTTTGAGTCCTTGTTGGTCCCACGGGTGATGACTTGAGGGGAGTTGTACTTGTGGAATGGCAGACAGACACATGCAACCACTAACCCAGCAAGAGAGCAGTAGGTACCTGCAAAAACAGTTCCCTGAGCTTGTGTGGTGTTATCACTGTGTTCCCACTCAGCCCCGTAACCTCAAGACCAACCACAGCCCCACAACTGTTTGCATTAAGTATTCTCTCACAACAGCACTTTCTCACACATCCCTACCCCACAGGCCTTGCCTTTACACCATGCTGCCACGGAACACCCTACACAGCTCCAGCTCTGCCCTTCAGCCACACTAAATAGCTCTCTCCTCAAACCATCTGCCAATTCCAGAACCAATTAATGGGCAGGAGCACTGCACCTCTTCATCTCCAAGACCTTCAGGCATTTCACAAGTTAAATAAATCCTTTCTCCAACCCAAGTAACCATGAAAAGCTTTGACAGTGAAGAAAACAGGTTTCAAATAAACAGTATTTTGAATGGGTATATGCATGACAGTCTCCCCGAGTAGAGAATCTCAGACTTTCAAAGCTATCAGAAACCTCCAGGCTTGCAGATCCCTGCCACCACCTGCTTCTGGTGCCCCTCTGGCAATAGGCTGAAGAACAGAAAGTTTAGTAATTGGTTAGCTTGGGCTAATACCCTTGCTACCCCTAAGAGTGGCAGGGGACACTTTCCAGTTGCAGGAGCAGCCACTCCATGTGCCAAGGTCCTCACACTGGTCTGGGCTGCTGTGCCTTTGGGGTGGTGCTTGGGCAAACTCCTACATGACTTTTGCTATCTTATATTTTTGTCTACCCCTTCACATTTTTCATCAACAAAGCTTCATCAGTAAAGTTAATCCAGAAGAGGCAGTCCACCAGGAGTTCTGTGATTTCTTCCTCCTCTGCTTGCAGCCAGAGCTGCTGAATGGCTCAGCACATGCATTCTAAGACACACTGGGCAGCTGCTCTTTTACTGGCACAGAAGTGCAAAGTAATTACTCTCCAGGCTGACTTGTCTCTCCAAGGATGGAGGAATCATGGATGCCAGGAGGATAACTGACAATTCTGTCCTCAAATCCCATGCTCCCTGCTTCCTGCACCTGGGAGAGCAGCACAGTAAAAAGCCCCCAATACCCAGGAATCACTGGCTGGACTCACCAGCCCAGCATTCCCAGCCTGGAAGCTGCTGCCTTGTCTAAAAGTGGTGGCTGCCTTGGGCAGGGACAGCTGGGGAGGGATGTGGAATAGCTGCTGTGCCCTTACATCTGCTTTGGAGCAGCACCCAAAGTCCCAGCTCAGATCAACTCCCCGGTCACCCCCTCCTTTGTAAACAGGCTTTTGAGCACCTGTTCTGAGAGCTAAAATGGGACCTGAAATAATCCTATGGAAAAGAGTTGTGTGCTTCTCTAAACAAAGCTCTCAGCTCTATTAAAATGCTCAGCCAGACTAAAGCAACTTCAGATCACTGGTCTTGGACAGATTTGTCACACGACGACAGGAAAGAAAATGTTAGCCAAAGTAATCCCAGGAAAAACGCACGTAATGAAGGTTTGAAGATTCCAATGAAGCAGCTAAATCAAC